GGGCGGTGAATCCTGGCTGTCCTGTAGTCCAGGGTCAGGATTAGAGTCTACAGGAGAGAATCCTTCATGAAGCCTGGCCTGTGTAAGGTGTGAGGTCGGAAGTGCATTGAACTGGGAGTTAGGAGACCTGGGTTCTCATCAGAAACATCAGAAAGCTTGTCAGAACCACTTCCCCTCATTTTCTTCATCTGTGAAAGAAGGTTTAATACCAGCCCTTTCTACCTCCCAGGCAATGGGAAAGTAGAAGTAGCACTTCTCTGTGTGCTGCCTGCTCATGCCCTTGACTTCAGGTGCTGAGCCTGGCAGATTTTGGCATCGATGCAAAGTGCCAAGTTGGTACAATGATGTGCTCTGATGCATTTTCATCTTCCTAGTCCTTGTTTGCACTTCTAAATGTCTTCTCTTCCCACTCTATTTGTACTCTATTAGCCTTCCATCCACTAGTCTGAAACACCTGCTACTCAAATTTGGGGTGGTTGGAAGCTATCCAATGGAAGAAAACAGGGATATTCAGGCCAAGGCTAGGGGGCCCTTGGACCTCTGAATTAAAATATTATTTTCAGATGGCCCAGTTGGCTAATGTGATTATAGATGTGACTTCAGCATGACAGAGCAGAGAGAATGTTATAGATTTCTGAAGCTACATTTACTGGAAATGGAATATGATGAACCTTGGGTCCTTTTTCAAACCTGCTAATTTGATATGTCTACAGATTTAAAGATTGCTTGGTGACAAGCATAGACAGGCAAGATAACAGAAACCAAAGTGCTGAATGACTTGGCCAGTGAAAGTAACTGTTGGAAACTCATTTAGAGTCAGCACTACATTAGCTGCCTGAAAAGGCATTAGGTCCATCACTGATGAAGGATAACATGGCAACCAACTGGATTGAAACTGAGTGTTTCATTTTGTGGGTTCCTGGGCTTCTGGTACAGGACAGTCATGGATTAGAACCAGCTAAATGGAGTTATAAGAGAAATCTAATTCCAAGGATCTGCTCATCCTCTCTTGGCCATGGGGCCCAGCATTGCATGTTGGAAGTTTCTTCATTATTCTGGAAGCTCAGGAAAGGTTCTAATATGACTCTTTGGTGACACTAGAAGTACTGAGGGTCTTTTCTAGAATGGTTGAGGCCCTTGTCTCCTCTTGGTATACTGTAGGTTCTGAGTGTAGTCTTTGATGGACCTGATGCTGGGTAACTATGTGCAGCCTCCAACTTGGTCTCTTGCCTAAGGTGAGTAACTTTACTGCTGGATCAGGGTTAAAGAATACCAGCTTCATTTAATTCTTTCTTCAACTGCTCCTGATTGGCAGGGTGGAAAGTGGGGATACGTTCATATTTGGATAGTTGAAATTTCAAGTCTACAATCCTTATCCAAACCTTCAGAGTCAGCTATATTTTATAAATCAGAAATTTGGAGATTTTAGAAAATCACAATGCATGTAGATAGAGTATTTTACATATACTCCCAGTGAGGTTTGGGGCAGCACTCCACAATCAAATACATTATTATTTTCTGGGACCAGCAGTTAGTGTAATGGCTATGTCGCTGGACTCCCATGTAGTAGACCGCAGTTCGAGTCCCGGACCCAGTGGCTTAAACTCACGCCAGGTGCGTGTGCGTGCATGGCCGAGATCCTGAGAGGAGAATGGAGGAGAAGGGATTGCGGCGTGGCCATCCCCCCTGGGGGGTAATTTCTCATTTTCTGTCTCTCTCTGTCTTTCTGGTGAGCGCACGCACCTTATAGCAAAAACCTCTCAAAAAAAAAAAAAACCCAAAAACAAAACCAAACAAATACATTATTATTTTCATGGAAAACATTCCACATTAGGTAGAAAAAATAAAATCTGCAGATAGCCTCACTTTAGTTCAGGTTTCATTTGTTTGTTTTTTCTTTTTGCTATCATATTAACTTTGAAAACAACAAATTTTTTGGGTTTGGTTTTTAGACCTTTTCGGATTTGGGGATTGCCATTAAAGGATTGTGGACCTGTAATTACTGTTGGTTTTGTACTTTTAATCAAATTGATCCACAGGGGGAAAAAAGGCACATTCTCAATGGATATTTCCTTGGAGGGGCCCTATGATGAGGTATTGTTTGTGTAGCGGAGTCCTGGCTATGTTCTTTTTAAGACTCTTTGTCATTCCCATTCTTCTTTTCCTCTTCTTGGTAGGGATTCAAGCAGGTGTCTCTCTTTATATTGATATTCATTATAGTACCCTTTTTTCTAAATGTGGACTGAGAGAACTGAAGAGCTAAGTGCCAAAGAACATAAAATTGACAAAACCAATGTCCATTAGGCAGATAATCTATATTAGTAAGAGTTCTCAACAAGGTAGGGATGCATGTCCATGATTTCTAAACCACACCAATCACTAAATGGAAAGGAACTCTACAAACGTGTTTCCTGCCT